AAGCAAATGTCCGGATACTGTGCGCATATAGAGCATACGCAGCGGCGACTTTGTCTCCGCACCGGTCGTGCGACACGCGGCGGACCTTCGCGCCACAGCACCCGCCGCGACCATTTGCAATTCCCAATTTGAGTTACGAAGAGCCCGCCCGTGCGAGCGCGCCGAATACGCCTGGGCCGTGTCTTTGGCGCATTAGCCGAGTGCGAGGCTAGAAAATGGCCTGTGGAAGGGTGAGTCGTGCTGGGGTGGGCATAGCCACTCGGCTCACCGCGGCATTCGGCGTACTTGCCACGCCTCCAATTCTATATGCCTGATGAGTACGACGATGATCGATAGAACGCGTAACTTGTGCGCACACGTTCAGCGGCCAAGAGGCGAAAAAGAAAGTCCATCGCGAGGTCTCCGCGCAAACCTCGCTGACCGCGTCTAGATCGAACAATTCGCCTGCGAGAATCATTGAAGTAGTGCATGACGATATTCAAGGATGCACGCACCGATGGGCATTCCCCAGAGACTGCGCATTCTTATGTCAGCCCTGATCAAACAAGCTCGCGCAGAAGTACGCGTACGGAAGCAAGGTCTATCGAAGACCGTTAGCTGTGCAACGTCCCGCGGGCGTGCTACCGGTACGCACCTCATGGAGTGACCGATAGACCTCCGGAGTAGGCCTTTGCTGTAACGTGAAACATGTGGTGTTAGCGTCCTCGGGAATGGAAGTGTAGCAACACATGAATACCTGTAATGGAACCTCTGCGTGAGGAATCATGTGCCGTAATGTAGAGGCGGAAATCACCTCAACCGAAGGTGTATCACTGGCGATAGCAGCAAAATGCGTGTCCCTGCGCCTTGTTGAGTGTTGTTCAGACATATCTGCAATCGCAGTGCCTACCAAAGGAACCGCTTAACGTCGTCCGATGCCTCCAGTCCGACACTAACACCCAGTCAGGTCACGGTACGTCCCCAGAAAGCGCCCATAGACGCACTAGTTAGCCGACTGAATGCAGAGCGCCTCGCGCTCTTCGACAGAGGCCCGTTTGTATGCCCTTAGGTATCCAGTACGTACGAGCAAGATATCGCCCGTACGAAACTTTACGCCTTGCGCTTGCGCGCACGCGCGCAGGTCTACCGCGGAGATCGCTTCACTAGTGTTGCAGGGTGTGTACGGAAGTTTCCCTTCATCTCTAGCCTCGTAGAAGCGAACCATGTCAAGAAGTACGCCACGACCGCAGATCCCATGTTTTGCCCAGTCTGAGGAGTATGAGTACGCATCAGAATTAGGTCCGTCATATCGACTTACTGTGTATCCCGAGCTTCAACAAGCCAGGGTGCATGTCTTCCACGCGTCGCGGAAGCGGGCCGACGGGCAAAGACGCCTCCGGTATTCTTGATGCCTGCCTATCAGCATACGATGCTGAGTACATTGAGCATCTCCCACTTACCCTTGGTATAAGACTGACGCGTCGGCATCTTCACGCTTCCGCGTCGAGAAGTGCAACAGGCCGTCCCATTGTGAGCTCGCCTGCGTATTCTGAGGGCATTCCACTTGAGCAAAGTTCGTGGACATACGAGTCATTGACGTACAAGATGAAGCTCGTCATCTTTGCGTCCGGATGGTTTGTTGAACGCATGGTGATCGGTAGGCATACGACCGTGCAGCGGTCGTGGAAAGAATTGCAGTGGGAGATCGAGCGTCACTCGCTTCCCGGTCCTGTATAGCATTCAGAGTTTATCGTCGGTGCAACTGATGTAGACTATCACCGTATCCCCTCTTCCGCTGCACGCAGCACCACGCTGTCCGTCAACAAGTTGACCGTTCCCAGCCGGTCCTCGGCTCCCCAAACTTCCCACGCGCAACTCGGGAGACCATTATACGACGGGAGCTCGTCGAAGGCCGGGAGCGTGCGTTCAGTCATGAGGGCGATGCACTTCAGGAAGCTCAGGAGAGGAAGACCTGGAGGCGAGGCTTATATGCGAACGGGAAAAAAGAATGACGCACCCGCGCACTCACGCGCTCGCAGATTTGGGCAGGCTGACCACCGCGGCGGGAAGCCGCATCTCACACGATTTATACAGCGAGATATCATGATACATGGTGAGTCTAACTTTCTACACACGCTATCGAAACACTGTACAAACTACAACGTCAGAATCGCACTATAAGACAAGATCTAATGACGCTAACGGACCTCCTCCTACGCAGACAAGCGCGCGAGCCGCTTAGTCGACATCCATCTCCGACGGGCCCTCGGGCTCAGTTTTGGGTGGCGGCGCCTGCTGCTCAGCAGCGGGCTCAGGCTGAGGCGTCTGCTGACCGCTCTTCGCCGCCTCGGGCTCGACCTTCGGGGGCTTGGGCTTGGGCTTCGAGAGAATGGGCGTCGCGTGGTAGATGATCTCGTCGCGGCGCTTCTCGATCTCCGCGCTGGTGAGGATGGGGTCGACGTTCTTCGGCTTCTCGCTCTGGCGCACAGACTGGTCCTCGAGCCACTGCTGAACCGTAGCGCACTTCTCAACGATGGCGGTGAGATCCTTCGCATCGATGTGCGAGTACTTCTCGGCGCCAGAGCTAGCCTCGGTGTGGTATTGGCCGATGGTCTCACGCAGACGGGCGGCGGCACGCGGACGCTCCTCATGCTCGCGCCAGCGCGCAACGATGGGGTCACCGAGCGCCTTGAGCGCGTCGAGGCGCTGAACGTATGCCGACTTGGTCGCATCCTCGCCATCCTCCGAGTACAACCAGTCCTCCTCCTTAGCAAGCTCGGCAAGCAACTTCTCCTTCTCGGCGGGCTGAACGAACGGTGCGTAGCGGTCGTCGAGCTTTCCACGGACGTCGTAGATGTACTCCTCGAGAGCGTTCTTGCGGTCCTCGGTGTCCTGCACAAGCTTATCGCTCTCGTGCATGTTCGCCTCGATCTCGCGGTACTTCTCGAGATAAGACGTGTCGAGGACGCCGCCGTAGCCGGTGACGATCGAGAGAGGGTGCTTCTTGGTGACCTTCTTCTTCTTCGGTGCTGCCGGAGCCTCGCCTTCCGCGGCCGGCGCGGCCTCAACCTCGCGCTCCTCCACGGTCTCGGTGTACGCCTCCTCGAACGAGAGCAGACCATTGTGATTGAGACGCGTCTTGAGCTTGACGTTCACGAAGTCACCCGTCTCGGTCGGCTGGACGCCCTTAACGGTAACCTTGCCGATCCACGGGTTGATGGAACCGGGGAGAAGCGATGGCTCGGCGTACGCAGCCTCGACTTCGAAGGTGTCCTTGCGCGAGAAGGTGAGGATCTTGGTCGACGGGACGTTGTTGCGCTGAGGGAAGACGATGAGTTCGGGCTCGTCGTCGCCATCTCCGGGGTCACGTTGCCACTGGAGCTTAATCGGGTAGTAAGTCGTGTCGATCATGCTGAAGTCCTTAACGCGGAAGACAGGCGAGAGCGTCGCGCAAGTGAAGGTGGCGCCACGAGCGCACGCCTCGTCCTGGTTGAGCGTAGTGGAAAGAACCTTGCCGGGGAAGACGCTCTGGATCTTGGCACGAACGGCCGGGATACGGGTAGAGCCACCGATGAGCTCGATGGCGTCAATCTGCTCGAGCGACAGGCCGGAATCGGTGAGCGCCTTCTGGAGCGGAGCGACGATGCGGTCAAGGACGCCGGCGATGAGACCCTCGTAGTCCTCACGGTTGAGCTTGCTGGATGCGTCGATGTCGTTCATGATGGACTCGACAGAGAGCGGTGCCTCAGCGTTGGCCGACAGGATCTTCTTCAGCTTCTCGGCAGAGGCGGACAAGCGGAACGTTGCCTTCGGGTTGGAGAGAACGTCGATCTTGTACTTCGTCTTGAACTCCTCCGAGAAGTACTGAACGAGCGCGAAGTCAATGTCGCGGCCACCGAGATGCGGGTCGTACGCGGTCGCCTTGATCGCGACTTGACCCTTAGAGAAGGCAGCGACGGATGCGGACAGAGATGAGTGGCCGATATCAATGAAGACAACGTGACGAGCGTTTTCCGGGTCCTCGGGTAAGTCCGACTTGGTAATACCATATCCAAAAGCAACGGCGGTGGTGTCATTCATCAAGCGCAGAGGGTTGAGGTTGGCGATTGCGGCAGCATCAAGGACAGCGCGGCGCTGGACGTCCGTAAACCAGCCGGGGACAGCGATGACGACGTCAGACACAGTGTTCTTGAGCTCGGCTGCTGCAGTATCACGCAGCTTGCCAAGGTAAGCACCGAGAAGCTGCGTTGCAGTGAACCTCTGCTTCTCGCCCTGGTAAGTCACCTACACATATGACCGTCAATATACTATCACAAGTACGAGTACAGGAGAGATTGAGTTACCTCCGCACCGACGCTTCCATCTACATCCACAAGTGTGGCGAGCGTGAACTTCTTCTCGTATTCCTGAATCTCCGAGTCGTTTACCGTGCGCCCCACGAGGCGTTTCAGCGAGCCGACGGTATTGCGGAAGTTTGAGATCTCGCCCGTCTTTGCTGCCTCACCAAGCGTACGTTGCTTGGGGCCGAAAGCAACAAGAGACCTATGGAGGAGTTGTCAGTACTGAGTCTCGATATTCCATGGATCAGCGTAGAACGCGCAAAAGCTTGTGGCGAGATGCATTGATCCCGCCGAAAAAGCGCGGAAGGTCCAAGCATGCCATCAGGCCAATCACTTCCTTCCGCGCAGTATTCGGAGCCTAACAGTCCATACAGACTTATGGAGAGCGTACTCACGGTGTTGCGCGGTTAGAAACCTCATTAGTGATAATATCGATACCCTTGCGACGGGCAACACCGATCTAGAAAACAGTGGTCAGTACAAGTATAGATCGCGCGGATAGAAAAGGACGTACTTTGCTGTGTAAGGTGCCGAGGTCGATACCGACGACAGCCATGACTCAGTGGAAGATCAGATCGTAAGTAAAGAGAGGGTCGGGGTGGGTGGAAGGAGAAAGGCAAGCCGCGAGGCGCGCGTCAGGACGCGTCTTCAAAAATGATCGGACGCGTCGCGTGCTTCCTCCAACTTCGAGAGCCTTCGACTCGCCCTTTGCCCTCATCGCCTCCCAAGGAGGCATGTCCCCAGGACAGTTCATTCCGCGCTAGACGGTGCTCATAGATGCCAGAAAGCTCTATTCCATGGCGGCATAGCCTTAGCCAGACTTCATCTCGATTGACACGTCGATCCCCGAGCAGATCGGTAGTCGGGCCCTCGGTTCAGCTAGAGCGAAATGAGGCTATAGTCATAGTGACACGGAGCCATCCTGTGTTCTCTATGGCCTACAACTTATATGACTGGCGCGACGAGGACGCGTGAGCTAGTATTTGTCGAGTATGTGCAAGCAGCAGAGGCTCAAGGTTGAGGTCGACACGCTCGCGTGAGTTTCAAGGCTGACATAGGAACGCGCTCTCGCGCACCGTCCCTCGTGCATCCAGCCAGCAGGTACCATCTGTCTCAGGACTCAGGAGACAATGAACAGCATAGTGTATTGACTGGTAACGGACCCTCATCCGCACCCTAGGATGAGTGTATCTGTATTTCTCTGGATCAGGAATCTGGTGCTCATGGACGATTGCAGGATGCCGGCAAGCTATGCTGAGTGGCTTTTCGAAGCTAAACATGGGATCCAAGTACGTGATTTCGGATTCATCGCGGAATGCCGGACCCCGTATGGACCTCCCTTGTTCTGCTAGTGAAGGGCACACACTCTTTGATGGTCACGCATGCCCTGTCAGCGCCACTGAGGCGCACAACACTCGTACAACTAATGTCAGTGTCATGAACGCTCCTCGTACTCTGATGCGATCGCAGTATCTTGAAAGCTGTCTCAGCCGTCCTCGAGTTAAGTTGATGGTGTGTGTGGTACGTGCGGCGCGATAGGTTGTATGGTGAACGTCTTCCATTCCGCCACCACAGGCTGCTCCAACACCCGACAAACCCTCGATGATATTACGTATCATATGTACAAGGAGTGAATGGGCATCAACTGTAGATGTACCTCGTAGTCGGTCCAGATGCATCTGAATCGCATATGAGATCTTGCCGATCTACAAATAGTTCGCTTCGATCTTGACGGACAAGTTCCAAGTGCAGTACTACTATGAAGCATCCGAGGATACACACGGAAGTATGCGATCATCCTCTGTGCCGACCCGCCGCGGGTAAGTATCAAGAACACGACAGTCAACCGCAACGTTGAGAGGATAAAATTACCTATCGCTGTAACGTGATCACTACTCGACAAAGACGAGGATATCCACGCTCGTGTAACTGGACTGTTGAGAAGTCGAAGTATTACGAATGACCCTTCGGCGGACCTCGCGTAGAAGATGATGGTTCGTATCGACTTCCAACTTGTAAACGTTGAACGTGCCTGCGCCGCCGACGCACCGCGCGACTCTCGCTGCCGCTTTCGCACGTTGTCTCTTGACCACCACCGCCGCGTACCGCCTCCTTTACATTCATCCTCGCCTCCCATTCTAGCGTCACTCTTGCTCGATCCAATTGAATATATAACTGCAACTCAGTGAATATGGAAAACTTTACGAGTGCATCAGATGCTCTCATGCGCGACGGGCGCAAGGGTGTCAACGCTCTCCACGCACAGCTCAAGGATCAGAAGAAGCAGACGCGCGAGAAGAAGGCGCAATGCGGCAACGCCAGCTGCCAGAAAGAGGAGGAGGTTGGAAAGGCACTGCGTGCGTGCTCACGCTGTCAGTGCGTGAGCTTCCTCCAAATCGGAGCATCATATTTTGTATATCGCCCGGAAAATGCTACTCGCGCTCTCTTGAATTCATGGCATGGGAAACATACGCTAACTGGTTCTCCACCTTAGCTCTATCCGTTATTGCTCTCAAGAGTGTCAAGTCGCTGATTGGAAGAACCATAAGAAGTCGTGCACATCCTTCTCTGACCCACCGTTGTGCCATCTCTTCGACCCGAAACGCAAAATAGCAGGATGTTCTTACGTTGAGCATCCTGTATTTGCTCGCGGAACTCAAGACGGGATGGGCTGCTGGGCGACGCCGCATGGATCCGTCACTGGCGAGTATGTCCACCCGCTGGTACACCCGAGCCTATCACTGACACGTTGCATGTAGGCTGGCCCGGAAACCCGGTAACGCGCTTACGAACCTGCCATCTAAAGGAAACACCTATGATCTCATGCTTCATATGATGCCGGGCATCCCTGGGTCTTGGTTTGACATACGCCTGATGGTGCAGAATCGTACCAAAGGACCTATGCTACTTCTTGGAAGTGAGATCGTCGCGGTCATTAAGGATAGCCACCGGAAGGACTTCCTTGGAGGTATTCGAGACGGTGAAACGCACCTCCCGGCCAAGGAGCTCAACGGGTCAGCTCTTCATGCATTCTGCCTTCCTAAACCTGCAAGCTAAACCTTGCTTCTTAGCACAGCCACTATCGCGCAGCCACCGAGTTATGTCGACATCACCGCACTGAATGGGAAGACAGTCAAGGAGGGTGGCGAGGTTGTACGTCTTCTTTACTCCGAAATGGCCGTGCTATAAGTGTGGTCGCTGATCTAAAGTTGCGGCCTTCTCAGGTGAAGGACAAGCCCCTACGCGACGCCTACTCTACTGCACTTATCGACGGGGATTCGTGCGCAGTCCTGCTTCAACCCGCAGAGCACGCCATACTAGAGGTCCAGTTCCGACTGGGCGGCATCCAGGAGGTTTCTCGCGAATTTCATGCATGGGCCATGCTCGACCATTTCGTCATCCCCTGCCTCCCATATAGCACAACGCTCTCAGGATCCTTCCGTGGCGTATCGCGTCACACGGACAAGGACGTACAAGCGTCACTTGTGAACATGCGCGCGCCAATCATACACAAGGACGTGGATAATTGGTATCATGACTTTGTTACCCGCGGTGAGCGGGCGCACGTAGTAAGCCACTTCGGAGAAGCCCGCGCGAACATGCTGGCCTCAGGTGGAGACATGCAGGCGCAGATGATGCAGATGCTTATGGGTATGGCTATGAACAAGACTTGAGTGATGCTGTGCTGGCGCTTCGGGCTTGAATGGTTTGTATCATCCTATCGCTGGCAACCTGCGTGCCTGTAGTCATTTTATGTACTCTGATTCCCATGAGAACTGCCATTTGGAAACACAAGAACTACTTGCGCTAACGCCTATGTGACGGGTGACCTAGGAGAGCACAGCATTGCAGTGCATGCGGGCGTACCATACAAGAACGCGGTACCAACGAGTTTACAGCAGGTTCGCGCGAGGACGTACCCTGAACCCGCGTTCTCTCATCATCCCAATCTCATGTCTATCCCACTTACTGTCATGGATAACCATACACCGACGCGAGACAAGCTTTTCCCAACCACGCCTCCCCACGGCAATAGGCGCTACAGCGATAAGCTGGCTCCGTACGTTCGTTGCATTGCTGTACATTTGCTCACTTAATTGACCGTAGTCAAGTCCGGATTCACCACGTGTGACCGATATTAGCGCAGCAGCGCATCTCTCGGCTCGTCACTCGGCGTATGCACATCAAAAAAGTCTCCCACCATCCTGAACCTTACCGGCAGATAGTCCTGCTTATACCGAAACCGACAATTGGGCGGGTTATACGCATCCGGAGGGAAAGATATATCACGCCCGAGGAATGAGCCCACGTATTGTCACGGAGGTCGACGTCAAGAGCGACGCCATTTTAAGGATGGTGAATGCTTACGTCGGACTGATCTTCGGATGGGCTTCGGAACTAGAGCTCGAGCTCGGTTCCTCCATTGAACTGTTCGTCGAGCCTTTGGTCGCCTCAGGCGCCTGTGGTTATTATCTCGTGGATCATGGAAGTCGCGTGATCTTTTGGTTGCAAGATTGCAGCGTATACGATCTTAAGCTGCCTGATGCAAGCTCTCCTCAAAATTTGAGTACGCACACAATCGCGAACCTCCCGTAAACGGAAGCTAATAACCTGTACAGAACTTGTGTTAGAAGAAAACTATTGGATTCACGTTGAACTATTCAGCATGCACATAACCGAGCTGCCAGGAGCGTTAGACGAGCTGATAGCTGTCTATCTTCACGGTCGTGCAGACCTGGCGACTTCGACAACCTCGACCTTTCCGTACTCAACGAAGACAGCAGACGACCATCTGGACGTCCTCATGCGGTGCCGTTGTGCGCTTCACTCTCGCGTTGCAAACTGCTCACATCTGATTGTCTCCGCAGCCATGCCCACCAATCCAATGACATTCACTATCATCGCTCGTCTCTGGTCCGTCATAGCAAACGTTCGATACAGAAACCTCTACGGCGAGGAATACAGCCGCTTGGATAGGACAATCTGGATCTACGACGATCAGCCGAAACAACCCAGACTCGGCCTACGTTATCTTTCCGTGTTCATGTTTGGTCTTCCGAACGCGATCCGAAAGGAGTTGGACGAGCAGGTCGTGGATGGAATCATGATCGCCTGCGTCTGGTCAACATTTATAGAACGTCGGATTGTCGAGTGGCAAACGACGATGAACTGGACTTTCGCCCTCATCATGTACGTCCCGCGCGTGCGCTCACGTTCCTGTATGCTTACGACCCTACAGTTGCAGCGGTATATCAGTCACAGTGTCCCCAGTTCCGGTGTTGCCACATATATCATTCGCCTTGACGACAGCAGGGCTGCTCTCGTCAACCCTGCTGCAGCACCGTTTCAAGAGTCTTGCTGGTACCGATGCTGTAGATGATGCCGTGAGACTCGATACCAATCCTCGTTGAACATTACTGATACTTCATCACACCTAGTGTGCCTTTATGCGCGAGCAGAAGGGACAAACGATGATATTGGCCATCGTCTTCAGCTTCCCACGCGCGGCTTTGATTTGGGGCCTGGTGCTCCTCGCTTCCCAGGCGATCTTCGTTGTCTTTCGCAGGGTCGCGCTCTCGGCTGGGATCATTATATGCATGCTTTTATTTTCGATCGCCTTGTGCACTGGATGGTGTCTCTACCCTTCGTACCGTCTGACGTGCTTCACCCCGAACTTCACTCTCCCGGGCCTTCCCTATGGCTTCTTGTCACAGTGGTCGCGCCGCGTCGAGAGAATACGGGATGCGGAGCATCAGGATTGACAGAGAAGGATATTGTTGCCTATTTGTATACGCAGCGGCTGGCATGTTCCCCGTATGATTGGGGTTGCGCTCTGTCTCGATGTCAAGCTTTTCTAGATCGGACGTGACTCCATCTGGCGAGGATGTGTGAGACCGCTGCACAAACCTGGAGATCTGTCTGATGTCCAACATATGTATCCTCGCTATCGGTTCCCATATCTTTCGTTTGACTGTAACACAGGAGAAACCCTGAACAGTATTCCCAGTGTCCCTGATCGCTTTGCAATATGTAGCCACAATACTCCTGTAATCTTGATGAGCCATGTTTGAGGAACCTTGCGCGAGTACTACTTTCATGTTGTATAGTCATCGCACTCCTGGAGTATCCGAGAGACAGTGAACGTAAACAATGTTGAGGCAGTGGCCAAAGAGATAGATTGAACCAAAGATTCGCGCACTTTAGCTCGGCAAACCCGGACCGGCGGCGACGCGGCGTGTCGCGTTACGCGCAGGCGCGTCGCGACGACTCGCGAGAACGCGACCTGCGTGTTGCGCCGAAACCACCACCATCACCTCCGGCCACATGTACATGTTGTATCGGTCAATTTGACAGAAGCTTTTTTTTTGCAATCCTCTGGATACGTTTCAGTCGCGTATGAATCCGTGTTTGAGAGTACCCGGCAATTCTGGCCCAACCGGAACGCGGTCTCTCCCGGGTTGCTTTGCCTCATGCACGGAGACTGGAGCGCGTGCGGGGAGCGGGAAGTGCATGAGCTCGGGAAATGTACCGCATACGGATCTCGTACATTGCACGCGCTATCGTGGCGCCATGCTGTTGCGTAACTTTGCAGTGGTTAGTGGTTCGTCTGCTTAGCCCGTGGACGTCTCTGATCTCGGGATATTTGTACAGGATATCATTCACGTACGCATATGCTCTGCAACTGGCGCCCTCCATGCTTGATAGAAGCTATATCATAGTCGGATCCGTGTCATGATTCAGCCATACGAAGGCCACAACCACCCGCTACACACATGGTGTCCCGTGGTGTCGAGGCGCAGAAACACCTGATGTAGATGCAGTTGCGATTGCACTGGGAAAGAATGGAGCTGGGATGCACGACAGAGTTGCTCACAATTTGCGTGGCCGGATGCAGATGGATCTGCCCGGGCCATTGTCTTCAAGCCCGGGTAATACGGCGTTGAACCTTGTTCTCGGCAGACAATTTCTTTTGTTTCCAATTCGACGCGATGCTTCTCGAAGCCAACAAGGGTGGCACTTGGACAAATAAGCAGTGCGGTGGTTCTCGATTGAGTGGCTAACAGCGCGCGGCTGTGCGAAGCTGAAGCATAAAGGCCGCTACCCCCACCACGTAACCTCCCAGCTCTACCCATCCCCTCCCCATGTCTTCTGAGAAAGTCCCCACCCATGATGATAGTGTAGTCGACCGCAAGAGTCCGTGTACGGAGCTGCTATATGCCACCATCCCCAACCGGACTACGCGGTATGATGAGCAGAGTCCACCGTGAGTGTCGTCCTCAACCTCAACTTCTCGGTGGCTCATCGCTGTTCTTCCAGGCATGAATCCCCTCGCGGGTTCTCCCTCAAAGTTGCGGAACACCTTTTCACCAATATGGCAACGTGCGTGCGATGTAATCCTGCGCACCATGCGTGTTGACTGATGACATGTCCCGCAGCCCCGCATACAGCGCTGGTGAAGATTGGTCCTTCTTTGTGCACCCGGAAGGCAAAGGCTATTGGATAAAGCTCATTCAGGGCGTCCCCGTCATTTCGGAGCTCAATATGAAAGAGCTTTGCAACAAAGAAGCAGCTCAGATGTGGGCGGCTTTCATATTGAAGCTAGCTGGCGAACGGGATCTTAAGCTGAGCGTGTCTACCGAGCTGTGGATGTCGTTCGAAGTCGACACATGCGTCTGCGACTACTACTTCGCGGACCACAACAGCCGGGCGATCTTTTGGCTTGAGACTGTCGATACGGACGTCGTCGGACTGCCAAGCGCGTACTCGGAACGGCATCTGGGTGAGGCTCTCAGACACGCTCGCGATGCTTCAATGCGCTGACTTCAATATGCTTAGCTTTTGCGCTCGCTTCCAATTACTGGAAGCACGTTGAGATGTTCTGTATGCACCTCGTCGATAACGCGCCGGGGGAGAAGCACTTGATAGAGCTCACCTTCATCATCGTCCATGCACGGGCGGATATGGCCACTTCTGACTCCTCGACGTGGCCTTTCACTGCAGAGGTGACGGACGTGTACCTCGACCTTCTGAGGCGGTGCCGAGGTGCGGAGACAACCTCAAACCTGCGGTGAACAGCGGTTTGACTGATGTCTGTCTTCCTCAGAACTCCCGTACCACCCAGTTATGTACGCCTTCGTTGGGAGGCTGTGGGTCTTCGTCTCCGACTACAGGTTTACCAATTTCCATGGGGAGGAAGTTCCTCGTCTGGATGTCACCAGCAGTGTCCTGGAGCATACGGACGAAGAACCATCCATCCTGTTCCAGCTCATGTCTGCGGTGCTACTCTTTGGACAACCTGAGGCTGTTCGGCGAGAGCTGAGTGTGCAGCTAGTGGATGGACTAGTCGTGGACAGGGTTTGGACGGCATTCATATCCGATAAGATTAAAGAATGGAGGAAGCTCATGCAGTGGACTCTTGTTCTTGTCCTGTGAGTCCAGCATCTTTTTTTGGTCGTTCACAGCGTCCTGATCACACACCATCCCACAGAGCTAGCGCCGCAGCCACCGCAGTGTCTCCTATTCCAATCATCACGTATACCTCGCTCGCAGTGTCGTCTGTATGCCTGTTGCTGTGCGCTCTTCTCCCGCAACGCCTGCAGGGCATTGCAAAGGACATCGACGGAACGGTAAGTAATTCTCCCATCCATTCGCACCCGCTCTGTTCTGACGAGCTTATGATAGTGTGAATTCCTCGCTGGCCAGAATGGCAGGATGGTCCCACTCGCGATCGTCTTCAGCCTCCCGCGTGCGGCCTTCATCTGGTCATTGATCCTCCTCGCAGCCCAGGCAATGATAATCCTGTTCACCTCCGTCCCACTTCCCGCCGGGATTACGATATGCGTCGTGACTGGACTACTCGCGCTATACCTCGCTTGGATCATGTATCCGGTGCAACGCCTCGCCCTGTACCACAAGATCACCGAGTTCAGGCTCCCTAGGCTCTGTTTCTGGCGTCGTACTACGCCCAAGATTCCAGATGTGGAGGCTGGCTTCTGCAACGATCTTGTCCAACTTGATTGATCGACCTGTAGTTCATCTCTGACCATCGCATCTCCAGCTGACTATCGTAGAGACTCGTGCCTAGTTGGAGAGCTGTGCGGTTCCAGTTGGATGCGCGATGGGCACGGTTACCTATGTTTGCGGCGGCGGCCAGCCCTTACTCCATGTATAACCTTACGCATCTCATATTTCACCTGTAGCTTTGGTGCACTACGTATCACATACCGCTTGCAAAGATGTTTATGAAACCATTTAACCCCGTAGTGGTCATAGTATGCTTCTATCTACCCCGTAAGATGAAGTGCAAAACCTCGCCGTTCGCGCATGTGGTCCAGCTGTATGCGCGTAGTCGTCGGACGACTCTGTATGGCGTTTGCTTCGCGCCATGAATCTCACCGGGCTTCGGACTGGAGTCCAAGGTCATGCGGCAGTGTTTGAAGTGGAAGTGATATGTGATAAATGTAGTTCGGGAGGAATGGGAAGGGCTAGTCGTGTAGATGGACAAGGACATGCGTAGTATGGACATGGGAAGATGGACTCGACGGGCGTGTTAGACTTCAAGACGGATACCGTTTGATTTGTATGGTGCACGTACTAGATACGTTCCCCGTAGGTGGGCCTTAGACCGAGTGTCGACGCGTTCCGAAGGTGTATCGTATGTAGTGGATCGGAGATTCGTGGACGAACGTGGGCTCGTCACGCCTCGTCGGTCTGTCCACGCATGCACCGGCCGCGCGACGTATCACTATGTCGATGATCAGTGTAACCCCGGTACCGAATGATGCGGCACGGCGTCAAACCCGCCGCCGTGAAAATGTAGATGTAACCCTAACCCTAAAACAGAACACCTTCCGCGACGCGCGTCGGACCGTCGGCCGTCCGACTTTGGTGGGTTGTGTGCTCTGCCTATATCAATAGGTGGAGTGGCTGAATGTTGCGGGTTCACTGTGTAGCATGATGGAGTTTGAGACTCGAGGGTCTGAAGTGCTATACGACAGCAGATATCTGCGTGGTGAGCTTCGTCGATAGACTCGCGGGGTATGCCACGAGGATGGGGTACTCGTCCACGAGATAGGCGAGCTCGCCATCGCGGTACGACACGTATAACGTATATGGATCCTAGCTAACCTATTAGCACAGACAGTGCTGGCGAGGCATGCTCGTCGAGATACGGCTGAAGAAGCTCAAGAAAGAGCCGACCCTGTGTTGCGGTCGGAATGGTCACTGGCACAACTCCGCAGCACGACCCGCTCGTTATGTCCGCATGCGCAGGAGACGCGTGCGGCTCAGAGGCTTTCAGGCAAGCGGCTAGCGCTGGACTCGACAGGCTCCTAGGACCCTTGCAGTCTGTCGCCACGTCTTCGTTGATCGCGACAAAGATTCAGACTTCAGAAGCAGTCGGTCAAGTCACCGCGGTGTTTACGGCGCAAAATATATTCAGAAGCGCTTGCCCACACGACAAAGGCGGGAGGAGAGAAACCCAATCAGTTCAGCCTGACGACGGCCGCGGGCCATGGCAGTCAGAAGCAGGAGAAAAGGGGCGCAAACGTCCGTTCACGCGCAGTGCGATCAGTTCATCTGGGCCAGATTGCCATAAAAGGCTAGCGTGGAGCGCCTAGACCACCTCTAGCCAGAGGTCATAATCGTCTCTGTGCAACGAACGGTCACGAACTGAGCCGGCCTTCACTCTCCTCCTTCTCTCCACACCTCTAAATAAATGTCGTCGACATCGGCCACGGCGTCCGCGACGTCGTCGGCAGCCTCGGCATCCGCGAGCTCGACCGCGACCATCCAGGTCTCTGGCAATCTCAAAGTGCGTCATGCCAACCCCGCGCTAGGCGCAATTAATATGAATTGGGCTGCTTATACTTGCGATGTAGATTGTCGGGATTATACTGGCCATTGGAAGCGGGGTATTGATTGGGAGCAGTTTTGTATTCAAGAAGAAGGGGTTGTTGCGCTCGCAGGCCGGGCAGGTGGCGGGCGAAGGTGTAGCATATCTCAAGTCGGTGAGTTATCCAATCCAATATATTCTAGGTATCTGCATCTGGTTGCGAATACTCGATTGGCCCATCTCGAATATTTGCAACGTCGAGCTCGACGCGCAGACGCTGTGCTCTCTCGATGTGCGGCGTTGTGGGGCGGGAATAGAGAATCCCATGCGCAGCTTTTTGCCATCAACTATCGCACTTCCAGAACTAGACGTCCCCCTCTCGCGCATTATTTGGATATGGCATTGGCATATCCTTGCCTGAGTCCTACGCCTCGCTGTACGCGTACGCCTCCAGGTTTCGGGGTGTTCGGTCAAGCCTCGGGGCTTGATCCATCCTCCGACGGCTACGTTCGGGCTATGCGCAGAGCGCGCAGGGCAGCGTTGTTGGTGGCGATACATGGGCCTATACCCGAACTTGACCACGACTCGTCTTCATAATCTTCTCGCCGTCGGAGTGCGGAAAGTTGGCCGGGCCGTGCTGACCATCCGTTCATTATTATAGCCATTATGGTGGTTGGGCATGATCAGTACGTCTTCGGTCAACTGTCCATGACCCACGAACACCGACTGACCGAGCGCCTCCGCAGTGATGATCCTAGGCGAACTATGTAATTTTGGCGCGTACGCCTTCGTAGAGGCTATCGTTGTGGTACGTGCATCAGCGCTGTTATACATGTTTTGAATGGAACTGATGGGAGTGGTGGTTGTAGACGCCTTTAGGCGCCCTGAGCGTCGTCATCTCTGCGATGTTGTCATCAATATTCTTGAAGGAGAAGTTGACGTTCTTTGGATGGTTGGGATGCGGCCTGTCAATCGTGAGAGTCTCGTCGATCCTGTTGAGTCGCAGGCGCTGAGACAAATCCCAGTTGGGCTCGGTGATTATCGCATTAAACGGTACGTTCTCTATCGCCCCGCATTGCCCGTTCCCGCCGCTGATGCGCCACCGCAGGACCGTCAGAAACAACACCTGGGAAGATTGACGAGTTTAGATCACTCTTCATCGCACCAGGATTCCTCGCCTGGATCGGAGTTCTCATCACGGCCTCTTTGATCATCGCGATATACTTCGGTCCCAGGTGCGTCGCGTCCTTCCCTTTTCTCAATGGTGATGCTGACCAGTACCTGTAGATATGGCGACAAGAGCATGTTCTGGTACATCCTGGTTTGCTCTATGATTGGCGGTATCAGTGTCAGCGTGACGACCGGTTTGGGCGCCGCGATCGTGGAGACGGCGTACGGCGACAACCAGTTCACGCACTGGTTCATCTACTTCCTACTCGTCTTCGTCGTCGTCACGCTATTAACAGAAGTATTCTATCTCAACAAGGTACACCTCGCCGCATGCTACTCATGTGGTGCCCCAAAGTTGACGGTTTCACAGGCATTGGCATGTTACAACACGGCTATGGTCACGCCGACATACTACGTTATATGTGCGTCCTGCCTTCCGGCGAAGTTGTCTCACGACTGACGGGTCTCTAGTTACATTCTTCTCCATGATGTCGACCATCATCCTCTACAAAGGTCTCTCCGCGCCCGCCTCCCAAATCATCACGCTAGTAATGGGCTTCCTCGTAATCTGCTTCGGCATCACCATCCTCCAAATGTCCAAGGTCGACCCCGAAGAACTCGGCAACAAGCTCGACAGGCGCTCGACCATGCTCCTCCAAGCAGCCCGTCAACAGACGGAGACGCTAGACGAGAAGAACCCGCTCGGCGCAGAGGAACCGGGTATAGACGCTTTGCGCGGCTCGTTTGGCACGTTCGGGTCCATCATCCGTGCGCGCTCCGCGAGGAGAATGAGCCAGTCGAGCTACGCATCCGGAGATGGACCTCGGCGCGGTACCAGCTCGGGCTTCAAACCCGGTCTCCCAGCGCACCCGCGCGACAACCTCGCAGGCATGCAACGCCACCAACTCTTCGATAACCCAGTACCGCGCTTCGACCGGCGCGAGTCCGACTCCATCTCAATGCAATCCCAACCCAGCGCGAGGAAACAGACCATCAAGTTCGATAACGAGGATATCGTTCATCAATATCATCGGGGCGCTGGACCGGACGGGAGCGCGATACACGAGCACCGGCCGGCGGCTGGTGCCGTCTCGTCACCGTTATCCCAGATCCCGAGCTTACCGAGCTTGAACGAGTCGCTCGGGACTGTGTCTATGGGCACTGTCAGCACGAACGATAGCTCGCGGACAACGGCGGGCGGGAACTCGGCCGCGTCTATGCAATCTGCATCGACGTACTCCGGATTGCCACCCGCAAGCTACGCCGACGCCGAAGCCTACGGCCTGCGCAGTGCACCTGTTATGGGATCAAGTCCTCCAGAACAATACACGGACCCGTTCGCCGCGTCGCCTTCGACGGCCACCATCGGCTCGTTTGATGCGGAAGCACAACGGATACGGGGTGGCGGAAGGCATAATAGGGAGAGCAGCAGGCATAGCGGGCGCTCGAATAGGAGTTACCCGAGGAGTCATGATAAGGCTGAGGATGCGGAGGAGAGCATGAGGTTGTTCGACCAGAGCCAGAGCCAGAGTGATGAGGAGGATGTGGATCATGAGGGGCCGCCGCCGGGGAGCGTACGACTTGTACAGAACAGGCCGCCGAAGGGGAATTACTTGTGAGCGTGCGCCGTGTGCGCCGTTACACGCTCGTTTGCTGTGCTTTGATCTGCCTCTGCGTTGTGTTGAGTGGATGGACAGAATCTGGATACTTGTTTACGACGCTATATACGACCCTTATCTATATATCCTTCTATATTCGCCCTTCGTCTTGCCGTGTTGTTTTCATACATACACCCCTCCGCACCCCCGTCATCTGCCGCTGCTGTCCTATTACTCCCTCCTCCCTGGATCGCATGTTGCTTCTTCTTGCCCTTGGATTGTGCCATGGTAGTACATATACACTGGACGCTCTCTTGTCTCGCTTCGTGTTTTGCTCGTGTACAACGTTCCCGGTGAATATTATTGTCTCGAAGCTCGTTCAATAGTGTTCGGACCGGGACTGCAGGCGGAACTTCTGACTAAGCGTATGTCTCGACTGACAGATACTGTAGTAGGCTGGATCCCACTGCCAACCCACTACGGTCCGAACCTTCAAGGCGACACACGTTTGGCTAATAGCATGGACTATCGAGTGCGTGTAGGTTTGCCTCGATTGTCTAGCGTAGTGAACCAGGGCGAGCTTCACCGAGCAAGGGTGAGGCAGTAGTGAGAATCACGCGCAGAGCTAAATAGCAATCCGCATGGTATTTGAGAGGGAATAAGGTACAGTACATCATGAGACGGAGAGGTACATTTTCGAAGCAGGGCAGCTGTTACTGGTTATAGATATATTTCAGGGTTGATGCCCATTCGCACAGATTGGTTTGAAGTCCTACATAGAGTCAATAGCTACAAGACGAGATAGATTCACATATGATGAACAGAAACGAGTCTAGTTGAGCGCAAACATCAAGGTGTTGTCCCAGGCAATGGATATCCCCGCTGATACAAAGGCGTTTGCACATTGCCACCTGACCCTGCGCATACAGCGCTAGAGACAGTCGTGACCCATGTACAAAAACAAAGCGGCAGCGTGGGTACTCATCAACCGGGCTACACCACTTGATGAAAGGTCCTAGGATGGCGATGAGTCGTGGGATCCGATGGCCCAGATCGACCGAAGGGCCCTAAAGTCGCCCATACCGCCCCTGCAATGCATAAGAGACCCACCGACAAGGGCAGGCTCAGGTAAAGCGGGACGGATCGGTAGAAGGCCAGGGCGCATTGTACGGCGAAGAGGACTACGGTCCAGATGAAGATGGCACGCGGCAGGCTCAGAACGATGGCGAGCGCAGCGATCTTCCTCGGGGTAAGCGCCTGGAAGAATGCGCGCTGGAGATTGATCAGTCTGAGTGATCAATCGATAGGGCCAGGCCAATAGTGCTTACTGTGTGACGGTAATTCTTCGGGGAGTCCGAGTCGAAACGTGCTTGAAGGAGGACGGAGAGCAAAAGACCCGCGAAACTGAGCAGCAGGCTCACGTACGTGAGTGTCGTGAAGGGGGGCAGGCCAAGGGCTGCTAGGGATCCAGGGCTGCTGAAAATCAGTCATAGTAAAGGCGTATATGGGTCTCTATCTGGCTTACAGGTTTACGATTCCGAGAGCGCCTTGCGTGAACAGCTCTTTCTTCGTTGCTGGGTTGATGATGGCTTCGAGCAGGGTCTTGTTGATCAATGCACCGCTCCGGTAGAGGCATATGAGACGCAAGCTTTTGTCCTTCGGAAGACCAAATAAGACGAAGGAAACCAGACAGAACATGACAGACACAGCATCCCGGCTGTGCGTGTGCCCTTCTCCAGAGCGTGTGACCAAGACGTGCGCGCAGTCGTGGCCCAAGTACGTGAGCTTTGCACGGATTGTTGAGCCCCATAGACTTGCAACCAGGGCGAAGGTGGTCGGGTTGGACAACAGAGCTGCATCGGTGTTAAGCCCAGCAGGTAAGGAAGTAGGCATCGCCACGTACAGCGACAGAAGGCTAGAGCTTCCAGGCGAGTCTTCATCTCTTCTGGAGAGAAGTAGAACACCAGTTTCGAAGGCGTTGCGAGTTCGGCACGGCTTTCCCAGTGGATGAGGAAGAGCTCGTCGAGAGCGTCGCCCAGCGAGGGCAAATGCAAGCTAAACATCTCGACATGCTTCCAGTAGTTGTCTTCCAGTATAAGTTCTAGTGACAAAGAATCAGCACTGAGTAGTATATAGGGATATCTAGATGTAATACTCACTGAGATGCATGCGTTTGCAGACAGAGGATAGTCCCAATAAAGCCAAGGGGTCACCGTCAAGCCAGAACAGCGTGCGCCCCGTGTGATCAGCAAAATAATACCTACAAACGTCGTGGTCGTCAACTTCAATAAAGAGTTCGATTCGCGGCCCAAAAGTGAGGTCGAGCTCTTTCGCGCGAGCTAGAATGACGCCGGCATACGCATCAACATACTGAGCCGTCGCCGAGTCCTTCATATCGGCATCTGTGATCGTACGGGGACGTTCGCCTTGCGTGTAGTATACGTGACCATCCGCGTCCGCGTAGCCTTGCCATTCACGTCTGTCCACGAGAACATGACTGCGAGATTGAGATGCAATGATCAGCCTGAGCACGCTGGTGTGGTGAAGCGTAGACGGATAGTACCTGAGCATAGCGATCGTTGGCGATTGTGGCATGTGGGGGCCGCTGCGAGTTCGGGAATCATCAACGCTATATGTTGACCTCAGTATCGATGTTGGACAACTCTTGACAAGCTGGTGTGCGCACGAAGTAGGTGATCTCGGCCCGCAACGCGTTAATTTCCATGGTGTGGTGGTCGCGATCTCGCTGTACTTGGGGTTATTCCCCAAGGGTAAGGAAGATGACATCGAAGTGGGACCTAGGAGGTCCGAATAAGGGGCACGGAATGAAGCGTTATGTACTTCGTCCGTAAAACTGCAGGCCGTGAGCGCTGACCTTCCGTGAATCGTATTTGCATCTCCTCGAAGCTCACTGACGCGGTGGGCGTTAATCATACCAGGTACTTCCTCAAGGCTGGGCACACAGCCATATGGAGGCCCTCGTCAGAGAAGTGCCATCTCTTATCAGAAGTAGCCAGGCCTCGAATAGGACAGCTGAGACAGTGGTTGTAGGTGGAACGTCAGTAGTTTAACCTTCCAGAGAAACCAGTGTTCAGGTTCCCCCAAACCTTGTTCGGGTGTGTTCCTTCCCTGCGCCTGTAAATCATCAACGTCAGTGGTTTGGCGAAATCTATTACACCATCGCGTATCTGACCTCCAGACAGCTCGCGCAGCGACGATCGAGTGTGAAGCCTGCTGCGTCTGCTTCGCACATTGTCCGATACTTGTCGCTCCAAAGCCAAGTTGCGGCTTTCAGTTTCGAGTACTTGATGATGACTATCTGAGCGAGCGGCCTGGGCTACAGGCCTGACCTATGTAAATGTTTGTCATTAGGATTGACTCCCAGAGCGGAGAATGCTAGCGATGACTTACCGTCTATGTTCAACACATCACGACGGGCTATGCAGGTCGGTACCAGGACGGACCAGCGACGGAGCTAGTGCGGAACAGTCTTGAACAGATACCCATAAAGAGAACCCTACAGCTGACGCCGTGAAGAGACACCATATGAAGCTCATTCTCGCGTTTATCGTATTAACGATAGGCGCTCTCGCGGCCGTAAATGCAGTTCGTGAGTAAAAAGCGACTCTGGCAGAATGCTCTAGTAGCATGGAGCAGGTAAGAATACGGCTCGTCCTGCGCACTCTTGTAGCTCAGTTCAATCCTTTGAGGACCATATAGATGTTTACAGCCCCGAGTGTGAGAGGTACTCTTCAAGGCGCTTGTACTATACGGCGGGCCGGACCGTTACTAGGGTTGGCGTGAGATCACTCGCAATGGGGGAATATTCAACGGTACCGGCTCAGATGGTATAGGATCGACCGAGAGTAGTCGTGTGAGCGACTCGATCATAGTTGGGTCGGGGGCTTCGTAACTTCGCCGCCTCGGGGATAAAAACGCCGACACCCTCCACCGCCATTGACCATATACATTGGGTCTAGAGCCCAGAGCTAGGGCGTGCGCTATATGCCGGACCGAACGCTGTTCTGCACACGCCGTCGTGGGTGCGTCGGTTCGGGGGGCTCGCGCGTTAGAGGTCCATCAAGAACGCGCCATCAGCTAGGGGACGTGAGCAAAGTATATGGTCCTAGGGAGAAGCCTCAGTTGTGGGAGGCTGTGGTTCACAGCAAGGGTGGATCATAACGCGATACATGGGTGGCGTATAGATTCCTGGCTTCGAGCAAGCAATCCCATGGCGGTTCAAGGCGACTGGCAAGGAGCGTTGTCCTCGCGCCGCCCGCATTCGCTGATCGGCCCGGAGTTCCGTTGATCCCATCCCACGCCTGCCAACGACCTCGTTTCAACCTCGTTTGCGCAACAAAGTACTATGCAACGGTAGATCCAAGGCGGATATACAATCAAGTCATATTTGTACTTGTACTACGTGATGTAGCCGAGCATCCGAGCGTCAGCGCCGCACAGAAAGTATCCTAACCCTAACCCGACATCTTAACCGCCACCCGACCGCGAGCTGCAATGACGTCAGCGACTACACGCGATACATATATGAGCGTGCTTACCACTTGAGATCTTGAGACTTGATCACTGAGCGCCCCGTAATCTGAGTCTAAGAAGAGATAATCGATAAGATGCCGCAAAAGTTGGAAGGATCGTGTCACTGCGGCGCCGTCAGATTCACCATCGAGTCGAGCTCGCCTGTGCCATTCGAGAACTGCTACTGCAGGTACCGCCGCCCCTCTCATCATCAAGCCACAGAGGACATCTGCAGCTGAGCACGACTTGCTTCCAGTGTATGCAGAAAGTGCGGAGGCGGCGAAGGCAGCACGATCTACGTCGGCGGTATCGAGAGCACACTCCAAGTCTCCGGCGCCTCGCACATCCAGTACGTCTCGCGCTTGCCATCCTCGCTCCTGCGAGAGCTTATGAGCGAAGGAAGTACCAGGCCGTCCTGAACCGCGGGACGAAAGATGAGGTCCTGGCGAAGGGCGAACGGGCGTTCTGTAGGGAGTGCGCGAGTATGCTTTGGTGGGATAAGAAAGTGTATGATTCGTCTTCGTTGGTTTTGTGTGGGTGGAGTTGAGCTGAGTTGTTGTGGGGTGTAGACCGGGAGAGTTTTATCCGTTTGCGTCGGCGATTGATACGCCGCTCAAGCCAGCGCCCAGGGAGATGGTATGTCCCCACACCCTGATCCTCTTCTTCGCCGGCATAACTGATGAGTACAGGTCCTATGCTTCGTGAAAGACAAACCAGACTGGGTCCGCCTTCCCGAGGGCCCGAAGAAGCTGTTCGAGCGGTATCCGGATGGACCGGGATCGGGATCGTTGGAGGATTGGCATAGGCATAACGGGGAGTGGATCGAGTAGTCGGACGTGAGGGAGGGAAACGGTGTGTGCACCGGGGATCGATGGGGTCTGGTGGTATGCCGAGTCGTGCGGCGTGACTTGGAGAGGTGGTCTTGAGTATTGGCTAGATGTCCTGTGTGCACACGTAGAGGGAAAGAGCATCGTCGTTCAAGAACCGAGGAGTATTCTCGGTGATCAATGACATCCACCTAGTAGTTGCGTCAGGAGGACCAGATTCGTGTAGGATTGCGTCGCTGCCTGCGAGGAGATGCCAATGCAACGGATCATATCCCCGTTACCCGCGCAAGTTCGAAAAGCATGGCCAGGGTCGATACGTCTTGAACGGCAACAACCTGCCCTCGCGGTCGAAGCACCCGTACGCGTATGGGTGTGCTGACAGGGCCTGAGGCGCAATTGTGGCTTGCAGCCAGAAAGGACAGGCCATTTTGAGAACAAGGTCCTCAGCTCTAAGCACCTCATCATCAACTCAAGCTCCGCCAGGCAGTCCTCCGTCGTCGGAGCGCGTCGTCAAGCAACAGCTGTTTGAGGCTGTTGCGTCCTCGCCGAAGCTGTTGGGCTGATCCAGAGTCGTCAAGATGATACCGAGGCGTAGGAGCCATATCGGGAACAAGGCCCACTGACCTGCGGCTTAGTGAGCGCTTGCCAACGGGAGATAGAGTGCGGTGCACGCCACACCTCCACAACAGCAAGTGTAATCGTCAAAGCCGGGCGGCTTGATGGTGGGGGATGATAAGCCGGATTGAGGACAAGGGCATCATAGAGCGCAGTGAGGTGTATGACTGTATGTGGTCGTAGGTGCTAACGTTGGAGGGTGATGCGAGAGTGGGTGAGTGAACTTGCGGTGTCCCGCGCGCTCGTCGTGAGGTCCTCGAACGATGAGAGTCGAAACGAATAACGAGTCGAAGTGACATGTTGCGAGAGCTCGATGCGCGGCGAATTGACGAGGGCACATCAAGCCGACCCCGCTGGTTGTCGGCCACCATATCGAGAACAAGAGCCTCGCCGTGTTGTATGGCAGGAGAAGAGGAGCAGTGCAAGCCTGGCGTTACACCTCCAAGCTCCGCCCCTCCTCCGCCCCTCTCCTCCGATCCCGGCGCGGAGCGTTGCCATACCAATCCTGATCGGACTTGCAGCACGTTATCTGGCAGCCTTAGGCTCATACGCGAAACGTATCGGGAACAAAGGACGCGGCTGACAATTGAAAGTGTCCCGCGCTTCTGGATCGAGCTTCAAGTGTCGATGGGTCCTTGGAGCGTGATGGTAACTTTGCCAGAGAGGCATGTTTCGTGTCGTGTCATGCCGAAGCGGCGAGCAGCGGCATTCGACAGCCAGTGTCGTACGCGGTCTTTGTCGGCGACGTGGAAGCCGCATCCTGCGTACCAACAAAGGTAGACAGTGAGCGCCTCGTCATGATGCCGATAGCTGGAGAGGCGCGCGTACATCGCTCGAAGATGTGAGATGCGAGATGTGAGATTGGCCCATAGGTAGCCGGCGGCGATTCAGCGTCTGTAGCGTTTGACCTCTTGACGTTCTTGATTCGACGTCGGGATCGGTACGTGCCCAACAGCAAACAGCAACGCCGACACCGACAGTGGACTGTCATATGGGCGCTCGCTCAGGTCTGTGTCGGGCTCGCGTGGACAGTTGTCGGCTACAGCGACCGGGCGAGGTGACAGGCGTTCGACGTTGGCGCAGATGCCGCCGACACGCCGCAAAGCACGACGAGGACGTCGGCGATATGAGTAAATGTGCCCGCTGTCAGGCCACAGTTGCCATTGCAAGGATCGGCCAGGACGGCCGTCCCAGTCAAAGCCTAACCCAAAGCTCCAATCCCATATCCAAACCGCAAACTCCAAAGCTTGCAACACCGAACGATTCGATACGAGTAGACAGCGTCAGTTACAGTCAAAGAGCAACAGTACAGCCGTCGCAAGCTCCGTCCCCACACGTAGGGAGGGATATCATGATGGTCTACATTCAAGCACCATCGCGCCCTGTCCTGATCGCGGAACAGCCCCGTCGACAGATTCAGATCCAGAAGGGATCGTACAAAACCGAACTATCGCTACACGGGCGCCCACAACTCCCAAGCGCGTCTTCCTTTCGGCTCCCTCTCCCGGCCCGCGCGGATTATTGAGTTCTTGAGCGCGGAATCGACTTCTTGAGCGCGGAATTGGGTGTTTGCGGCTCAGAGCGGACGGCCATGGCGCGGGCCCCGACCGCGATCTCTACGTCGGCGAATGATCTCGAGCTGTGGATGGCGGGGGACGAGTCTATGCCCGTGCGTGTTTCTTTCACTGTATCGAGGAGGGTATGGGCTGACGGTATATTCGATATCCTTTGAACTCGCTCGACTCGCGTTCCGTCTTATCCTCGGTCCCGCACCCACCCACTCTCCACTCTGGATTGTATCGGATACTGGATTGTACGCTACTGGACCACGTGTAGCCGACACCGCCACCCAAGACGCCGCGGAGCATGGGATTCAGCAAAGGCAGCATGGCGTCCATGTCCACCACATCGACCTCCACATCCTCCACCTCCCGGCGCGCCCAAACCCAAACCCAACAAACCCAACAACAACCGCGCACATCCGAGTCGACGTCCTTGACCAACTCGACCATCGACGACTACTCGTACACCTCGTCCTTCCCGCCCTCGATATCCGTGTCGAACTACTCGCCCGAGTTCAACGGCTCTGGCTCCGGATCGGGGAGCTCGAATACCTTTCTGGGCAGCAGTGAGATGGGGGTTAGGGCGGAGAGGGAGCGGGAGAGGAAGGAGAGCTCGAACGGGAGCGTGCTGAGAAAGGCGCGCTCCGCCGTCGGCCAGCTCGTCCGCCGCTCGAAATCCAAAGCGCGCATCGACGCCGAGTACGCCGCGCACGCATCCAACGCGCCGCCCGTGCCGGACATGCCGCTGCCGTCGTCGTCGACGAGCCCGCCGCACCACACGTCGTCCGCGAGCTCGTCCGGCATCGCCGCGTCCGTCTCGTCCACCTCTTTAATCCCCTCGTTCAAAAAAGACCGCAAGCGCTCGCGCGATCCGGGCCATCCGTCGAGCACGGGCAGCGTGACGGAGGACACGGAGGGCGGGACCAAGTTCGACTTTGATCTTGATTTGGGGAGCATGGACGGGATCGTGGACGCGTCGCGCCTCGGCACCGTGGGCAATCGGAACAGTCTGAACAGTAGGGAGAAGGAGAGGGAGCGCGACGAGGGCGAGATCGTTATTATGCAGGTCGACTCTTACTCTTCTTCGGGGCCTGGGTCCAGTTTGGGCGGCGGAATTGGAGGCGGGATTGGAGGGGGAGGAGGGATGGGCGGGATGCCGAGCTTCAGCGATCCGTGGCCGCAGCCCTCGCACGCCCATTCCCAGATCTTCAACTCGCCGCACTCCTCGCGCGAGTCCAAGCGCCGGCGGCACGGCGCGCACGGCGACCGCGAGCGCGGCAACACCGCGTCGTCGACCAACACGCGGCTCACTACCGCTTCTTCGGGGCGCCTTACGACGGCGAGCAGTCATCATGGCGAGCTCGCGGGCCCGGCGGTATCGGTGCACCAGCCCGCGCGGCTGCCCGACGCGTTGTTGGCGGGGCCGCAGGACGCGATGGGGTGGAAAGCGCCGGACTCGTGGGTCACGAACGGCGACGAGCGCGCGGAGGCCGAGTCGGGCTCGGAGGACGAGTTTGTCGTCGGTTCTTCGCTTTACACCACCAATTCAAATACAAATGGGAATGGGAGCGTGCTGGGGAGTCCGACTGCGCACGAGGGAGGAGGGGGAGGTGCTAATGGGAGGAGTAGGAGGCCGGGGAGCGCGGGCGGCGAGGGCAGTAGGGGCAAGCGGAAGAGTAAGGCGGCGGGCATGGCGTATAAGCTGAAGGTCCATATCGGGAGCAGCAGTAATGACTTTAGGATATTGAGTATGGGGCTGGCTACGCCCGTACGTCCTCTCTCTTTCCCTCTCTCCTTCCCCTCCTCTCTCCCTCTCTCCCTCTTCCCCTCTTTCATTCTTACTTGATCCACTGTGGGCGGCTGGCTGATATTCGACACAGACCCACTCCGTATGCCGCTTCCTCGCGCGCGAGCTCCTAGGCCGGCCGGACGACAACTACAAGCTCTACCTCAAAGAGCGCGGCAGGGAGCGCATACTGGGCGATAAGGAGCGCCCGGCGGATATTGTCAGGCGCAGGCTGGAGCAGGTGCGGTTTCTCTCTCCGCTGGTTCTCATTACATGGATATTGGTGGCCTCTCCTTACATGGGTGTTGGTTTACCGCTTTCGGTGCGGGCGCGGGCGGGCGGCGCTTGGCTGCCGGCGGCGCGCTTGAGCGCCACGCGCGCGGCGCCGCTTTTTAGGCGCTCGACGCCGCCGGCCGCAGTCTGTAGACGCCCTCCCCACTCTCAAACCTTCGCGCGCATCCCTCCTCACCTCACTCGTTGCTAAGCGCTCATGTACCATGAATACTGATTTGATTGGCTTGTACAGGCCGGATACACGCCCGCGGACGGACTCGAGACCCTCGGCGGCGAGAGCCTGAGCTTTTTGCTCAAGTTCGTGTATAAGTCGAATGTGTTGGGCGCTACGGTGCGTTCCTCTTTCACTCACTCTCCCATCCTCCCTGTTTCCTCTCTCCCTCTGCACCCTTCCCTTGCGTTCTCTCCCCCTCGCCTTGCGATACAGCAAATGATATAGATACTGACGACGTACTACAGGAAGACGACACGAAGACGCTCTCGTCCTACACGCATGTAGACCTGACCAACAAGGGCCTCCGCACGATCCCCATCGCGCTCTATGCGCGCGCGCACGAGATTGAGACGTTGGATCTGGGCCGCAATCCGATGCTCGGTGCGTCTCTTCCCCTCACCACGCCCTCCTCCCTCCTCCACCCACCAGCTGCATGCTGACACAACCACACAGAGATCCCGCGCGACTTCATCAAAGACTGCACAAACCTGCGCTCGCTCGTGCTCTCCAACATGGCCATCAAACGCGTCCCAGGCTCCGTCCGGCTCCTCGAACCGCTCTACACGCTCGACATCAGCTGCAACCGCATCGCCGACCTCGTCGACGCGGGACTGGACCATCTCAAGAGCCTCAACCGGTTGTACGGTGCGTCGTCGTACCATGTTGTTGGGTTGAGATTGGAGAGTGGGAGGTTGATGTGGGTGTGCTTGTAGCGCAGAACAACCGGATGGACGCGCTGCCGTGGTACTTCCCGCGCCTCAAGGCGCTCACGAGGCTGAATATATCGAATAATAAGTTTCGCGCGCTGCCGAGTGTTGTGTGCGAACTTACCGGGTGCGTACTGCTCTCTATCTATATCGTGTTGGGTGGGGGAGCTGATGGTGTGTGAGTGTAGGTTGACACATCTCGATGTATCGTTCAATATGCTCGAGGAGCTGCCGGGCGATATATGCGCGTTGGTGAAGCTCGAGGAGTTGATCATGGTCGGCAACCGGTGCGCCCTCGCTCTTCTACATGATATACGAAATGTGGCTGATGCAGGAAACAGCGTCTCCTCCTTCCCCCCCGCGATCTACCAACTCACCTCCCTCCGCATCCTCGACTGCCGGCGCAACCTCATAACCGACATCGGCCCCGTCTCAATGCTGCCCGCGCTCGAGCGGCTCTCCGTGAACCACAACGCGCTGCAGTCCGTCTCGCTCACCTCGGGCCGCTTCATGCGCGAGATCGATCTGGGCTCGAACGACATCACTTCGATCTCATTGTTACAAGGCCCGATCGGCTCGCCGCCCACGAGCCTCACGACGCTCGACCTCGCGCACGCGAAGCTCTCTTCGCTCGACGGCTTGGACTTCGGGTGGATGCCCGGCCTGCAGATCGTGCGCGTCGACGGGAACGGGTTCCGCGCGCTCCCCCCGTCCATATCCACCCTCTCGCACCTCAAAGAGCTGAGTGCGGCGGACAACAATCTTGAAGATTTGCCTGTGGGCATCGGCGGGCTGCAGTGCCTGGAGGTGCTGGATGTGCGCTCGAATTGTCTGCAGGAGGTCCCGGCGGAGATTTGGAGGTGTGGGAGGCTGAGGAGGGTGAATATGACGAGTAATGTGATTGCTGTTTGGCACCCTCCCCCTCCACCACCGACTACGACCAGTACGACGACAACAGCAACAACGGCGGGGACGGAGGTGAAGGAGGAGGAGGATCTGAGGAAGGGGAGTATTGGGAGTGTGGCGAGTACGGCGAGTACGGCAAGCACGTCGACTGTTACGCCGCCGTCGACGTATATTGGGAGCATGACTACGCTTGGGCAGTCGGCTTCTGTGCATGGGGTCCTCGAGGTGCGCATCCCTTCCCGTTTCATTCGCCGCATGTGCTGATACATCGTTATAGGAGAAAGTGCCCGAAATCGTCCCCGACCGACCGCTTCCTCCCCTCGTGCACTCCCTCACCAACCTCTTCCTCGGCGAAAACGCCCTGAATGACGAAGCCCTCGCGCCCCTCATGATGCTGCGCAACCTGCGCGTCCTGAACCTCTCCTTCAACGAGATCCAGACGCTGCCCGCGAACCTCTTCACGGCCCTGCACCGCGTCTCGCACCTCTACGTCTCCGGCAACCGCCTCGCCTCCCTGCCCACGGAGGGTCTGGGCAGCTCCGCGACGAAGGCGGCGATCCAGAACGCGACGGGCCAGGGCGTGCAGCTCAAGGTTCTGTTTTTGAACGGGAATAGGCTGCAGACGCTGCCGCAGGAGCTCGGGAAGGTTACGACGCTGGAGAGCTTGGATGTGGGGAGCAATGAGCTGAGGTATAATATTAATAATTGGGAGTTTGATTGGAATTGGTGCGTATCCCCCCTCATATCAGTATCATCGATAGATACTGACAAGTTGGATGTGTACAGGAACTTCAACCAGAACCTGCGATACCTCAACTTGTCCGGCAACAAGCGCCTCGAGATCAAACCGGACGCCTCGCGCAAAACGCAGACCAACACCCAGCTCGAGCTCGCCGGCTTCGCCAATCTGCCGCACTTGAGAGTGTTGGGTCTCATGGACGTCACGACTACGTTCACGTCTCTGAACCAGATCCCCGACGACACCGAAGAGCGCCGCGTGCGCACGTCCCTCTCCGCATTCGGCGCGTTCGTCTACGGCATCGCGGACAACCTCGGCGCTGCGTCTTTCGGCCACACGCAAGACCCCTTCTCGAGCTCACTAAGAGAAGCCGCGAGCGCGCGTTCCCTATCGGCGCGCTACAAGCGCGATGCGCTGCCCCTCCGCGCGGACCCCTCGTCCTCGCCCTCGTCCTCGCGCCTCCCCACCGCGTCCGACATGCAGCGCTACGACCCGCAACGCACGCCCCCCGCGCCCGAGCTCGACCCCGCGGACGAGATCTCGGTGCGCATGTTCGACCTCGTGATCCCGCGCTTCCGCAACCGGCCCGACGAGGCGCTCTTCGCGATGTTCGGCCGCGCGCGCGCGCCGCCCGCGAACGCCAAGATCGCGAAGTTCCTGCACGACAATCTCGCAAGGGAACTGGCGAGCGAGCTCGGCGGCGTGCATAGCGCGCGCGGGGAGGGCCCGCCCGACGCGCTGCGGCGCGCGTTTTTGAAGCTCAATTGGCTCGCGCATGATCATCTGTTTGCCGCGGGGCGGAAGATGAGCGCGCAGAGCGGCGGGTACGGGTACGGGAGCGCGCCGATCAACGCCAAAGACGCACAAGCTCTGGGTGCGAGCGGCGTCGTGCTGTACGTCGCGGGGCGCATGCTGTACGTCGCGAATGCCGGCGCGGCGCTGGCGGTCGTCAGTCGGCGCGGGCACGCGGAGCCGGTCAGCACGAAGCACGATCCGTTTATTCGGGCGGAGACGGACCGGATCAGGCAGGCGGAGGGCTGGGTCTCGCCGAAGGGGCTCGTGAACGACGACGCGCCCGTGTCGCGCAGCTTCGGGTACTACCACCTCGTGCCGGTCGTCAACGCGCGCCCGGACGTCGCGGCGTACGAGCTCACGGACCTCGACGAGTTCGTCATCATCGCGAACGAGGGGCTCTGGGACTTTATCTCGCCGCAGACTGCGGTCGACATTGCGCGGACGGAGCGCGCGGACCCGGGATTGGCGGCGCAGAAGTTGAGGGATTTGGCGATTAGCTATGGCGCGGAGGGCACGACTATGATTATGGTTATCGCCGTGGACCGCGGCGCGCAGAAGAGGCGCGATATCGAGAGCGCGTCGTCGTATCAGATCAATAGGCCGCGCCGACACGATCCCAGGACCGATCGGCTGCCGAGCGAGCCCGCCGCGCCCATCGGACATCTCGCGCTCGTGTTCACCGATATCCGGAACAGCACGGTCCTGTGGGATACGAACGCGGGGATGCCGACTGCGATACGGATGCACCATTCGCTGTTGAGGCGCGAGCTGCGGGTGTGTGGCGGGTACGAGGTCAAGACGGAGGGAGACGCGTTCATGGTGGCGTTCACGCATGTCGGCGCGGCGCTCTTGTGGTGCTTGACGGTGCAGGCGCGGTTGTTGGAGGAGCAGTGGCCGTTGGAGATTTTGGAGAGTACGGAGGGGAAGGAGAGGCACGGGCCGACGGGCGAGCTGCTCGCGCGCGGGCTGAGCGTGCGCATGGGTATTCATTGCGGGAGCCCGGTGTGCGAGAAGGACGTGACGACGCAGCGGATGGACTATTATGGTCCTATGGTCAACCGCGCGGCGCGCGTTATGGGCTCGGCGGCGGGCGGGCAGATCATGCTCACTGCTGATGTCGTGCGCGAGCTGCAGGAGGGCGGATGGGAGCGGAACGACGAGGTCGCGGTCTTTGATCCGCAGTTCGTACCCGTCGGCGAGGTCAAGCTCAAGGGCCTGGAAATGCCCGAGATGCTCACGCTCGTGTATCCGCACAAGCTGCTCGGTCGCCAGGATCTCGTACTGGAGGAGCTCGAAGCTCCGCCACCCAATCCCGAGCCTGAAGAGAGCGCTGAACCGGCTGCGCCTGAGCAGGCAGACGACGACGACAGCCCGTTCCCGGAGATATGCACGGCGGAGAATATTCGGGACCTGGCGTCTCTTGTCGTTCGGCTCCAGGCGCTTGCCGGAGGGCGCGTCTACAGGCCGACGCCGCCTCGGAAAGGCAGTACGCACTCGGCCAACACCCTCCTCGATGTACCTGCACCCACCGCATCTTTCCTGTCCTTCGCATCGTCTTCGACGTCCACCGCCAGCCTCAACCCATCGCTCAACATCGACCCCGGTCTCATCCTCCCGCCCATCCCTGAGCGCATCAGTGATGCGGATCTCGAGCCTGTGCTCGAGTTGATGCTGATGACCATCGAGAACGCCGTACGGTCTATCACCGAGCGCTTCGTGCTGCCGAAGATAGACACTCTCCTCAAAGCTCTCCTCGACGGACGGATCGGGCAGAACGACCTGGATGGATTTCTCGCTTCGTTCGGGGTCAGCGACGATGCCCAACCCCAATAACACTTGTCGTCTCTGTCAGTGCCAGTTCTTGTGTTCTTGCTCATGTTGTTATCGTTCCATGTTGTCTGTGATATTTTTACGCTCTTAGTTCTCCGCCGGTCGTCTGCGCCTTGGTCGGCTCTCGCTCCACTCTCTTGCTGTTTTACTGGACCATCGTATGCTTGTCGGGCCGCACTGTAGATCTGATACCTCCCTGCCGTGTTCGCTGTGTTTATACGTTTACTGGATTTGTAGGTGTGGGGTTCTTTTACTTTATTCGCGTTCGCCTGTATATGAGATACCTTATGCGCATCACACGTCGCGGGCGTATGGCTCGCTGGATGAATATATATAGCATTTTGCTGCGCACATAGGCTATCAAGTGTATGGGGTATGCGGCTGCCATAGAGTCATACTTTACTCATGAGCCACAGCGGCTCCGGTGCCTCAGGATGAGAGATAAGACTTGTCATCCGGATAACTCAATACTCCGGAAATTCCCTTCCTTCCTCCAATCGCGGCCCTTCCAGATCTCTATCCATATGCTATTCCGAGTCATAGGATCACTACGTTTGTCAGCCTATCAAGATTTACTATCGACCGATAACGTCGGTCTGAGCGCTGGCAAGGCTTATAAGGCCGGCGCGACGAGTTTAAGGTCTTATCAGATCATCCCCTCCAATCCTTCTCCCTCCACCGTCCGCACAAGATGCCTCAGAAGCTCGAAGGATCGTGTCACTGCGGTGCTGTAAAGTTCACACTGGAGTCAAGCTCGCCTGTGCCATACCAGCTCTGCTTCTGCAGGTACGTCCTGCGAGCACGGGATAGCTTGATGTTCCACGTTCAGCTCATGGATGATCGTCGGAATATAGCATCTGTAGAAAAGTCGCGGGTGGCGCGGGTGGCACCATCAACCTCGGCGGTATCGCGAAGTCGCTCAAGATCGATGGAGAAGAGCATATCAGGTACGTCGATCCTTCGCATGCGCGATTCGATGTGTTTGACTGAATCTGATGGTACGTGTCGTGTAGCAAATACCACGCCGTTTTGGACCGCGGAACAAAGGATGAGAGGCGGGCAAGTTCGGAGCGTAGTTTCTGTTCCAAGTGTTCCACGATGCTATGGCTTTGGGACGAGCAGTGGTGGGTCCTGAGGCCCACGCAACAGTTTGAGTGGTGCGGCTGAACTGATGTCATCCAGGCCCGAGCTCATCCATCCATTCGCGTCTGCTATTGATTCACCGCTGAAGCCGCCAAAGGAGATGGTACGTGTACTCTCGACGTGTCCAAGACAAGGAGATGACCATATCATACAGGCATGCATTCTCATGGACTCGAAGGCTGAGTGGGCTCGCTTGCCTGAGGGTCCAAAGAAGATCTACGACCACTACGGGTCGGGTTCGCTCGAGGACTGGCACAAGCACAACGGCGAATGGGTAGAGTAGATTCGGCGCGCAGAACAGAGACAAAAGTGCAGGTTTTGTACAATGCGGGTGGGGAATAAGTAGAAACCAGGAATGGCCAATCCTTCAGCATGAAGGTTATAATTTTAACTCGATGGCGTTTGTTCCGAACCAGAGCCAGAGCCCGAGGTCCCCGCTCGTTCTACCGCCAACCTGTGGAGACTACTTGAGTACAAGATACTCTCAACGGACCACAAACATGCATACTCAGCGTACCTATTGTGCGCTGCGACATGCCTCTTCCCAGCATCCGATCGCGTAAACTTCTTCCCGCATGCAGAGCACTGAAAGCGTGTATACTCGAGGTGTGTTGTGACCAAGTGGCGGAAGTACTCGGGGAAGTCCATCTGGTCCGCCTTCGATGAACATCCCGCCCATGTGCAATGTACGCGCAACTTGCTCGCGCCGCGCGCCTCCCACTTTTGGCCGTGAACGTCGGCATTGTGATCGCGGATGTGTGGTCTCCCGTGGTCGACCTCCATATTGCACACGGTCCCATCCTCGTCCTGAAGCATACACTTGTACTTTCCAGTTGGCGGGTCGATGTTGGTAAGCTCCGCATCTTTGACAGGCGCTACTGTGGTAGTCCGCCTTGCCGCCGTCCGTGCGTAGATCTCCGAGGTCGCGTAGCGTTGTCCAGGAGAGTAGCTCAGTCCGCTTGTAGCTGTGGTCACAGGAATGCGATAGTGGGGGACGGAAGGGATAGCGCCAGTGGGCTGCCTAGTCGTCGAGTAGAGCTTTTGAACGTCCAATGCACTCGTTTGAGCAGGCATACCGGGTCGAGAAGTAGTGTATGATTGAGAAGCCAAGCTATAGCCTGTGTAACCATATACAGGTAGCGAAGTCGAAGGATATGGTGACATTCGGTAATTCGAGCTCATGTTCGGCGTCGTCGAGTATGGATGCGCAAAAGATTGCGGGAGAGCAGCATTGCTCGGTGGGGGAGATGTTGAAGATGTAGCTTCGCTACTGGGTGGGGGAGAAGTCGCCGGTTCGGAGTTCATGTCGACATCAGACTCAGATGTGAAGTCGACAGGTTCTGGAACAGAGGCCTTATTTCTAGCACGAAACCGAGTCGGGATATTTGAGGAGCCACTCCGCACTGGCGGCGACGATGCCGACGAAGTGCTTGGAGTAGTGTAGCTCTTTGACGTAGACATGGCTGGTGAAGGATCACGATATGCAGTAGGCGAGTCCCCTTTCATGCTACACAACGTTTATGTCACCGATATCAACTACTGATGGACCACACTCACCTCGGGCCACTCCCGGACCCTGCCGAACCTCCTTCCGACCATACTCCCCCATACGACGTCGCTGGCGCACCATAGACCATCATGATTGCCGCAGCATAGGGAAGATGCCACAAAGCGTAAAACACAGGACCTGTCAAAGCTGGCCGTTGATGGCGTGAGGCGTGGAAAAGTAGGGCTGTAGGTCCATACTTGGTCAGCGATGATCTTTATTAGAAGCAGAATCTTTCCGGGAACGTACCAGCTGCTTGTGGCGACTACCCGGACTACAATACCCGCCAGCTCAGAGGCCGAGAGCGACACGGCTGAGTCTGGGAACTTGTCGTTAGCGTCGTGTGGTCGGTCGTGGTCTGTGGTCAAACTTCCACCGTGGCCGCGGGAAGAGCTGCCACATTCCACACGAGCCCAAAAACACGGCACATCAAACGGGCCGTCGGTCTTTCGGCAAGCGCCGCGCTCTGTTGTCCATCCGCCCTCACTGCTCCGACATCCAGGGTCTGTAGTAGTTACAGCACTGGTCTTGGCAATGAGTACCCGTCCCAGCAGGGCTGCAAGGTTGTCTTTCAGCCTTGCTCGCGTCGACCCGACGAGGTCGGACTCGAATGCCTAAAGCGGGGTCCAACGACTACGCCTTGTACAGCTAGATCTCATATACGATAGCCTGAGGACTAGGCTCTGTACTTCGGCTTGTTGGAAACACCAAGCCTGCAATGGCTCATGCGGGGCTCTGATAGTTCCATGAACATATTGCAAGGGGGCGTGATCCGTCGCTCGTCGAAACAATTATCGGATTATGAGGTTTCGTAAAATATAATGTGAACGGTGGACATCGAGCCTCAGATCTGGAGAAGCCTTACAAGCCTTCGAGTGCAAAATGGTACATGGTGATGATGACTGGCTGGATATACGATGGTCAGATAGTACTCATAGTGAGATGTTCACTCGAGCGTCACCCCGCCGCATTCCTCATCCGGGATCCTCTCGCGGTGGCACCAGGATGATATGCAGAGTCGAAGATGCTCAGAGAGCCTCCTCAACTGCCACCACAGAGCCAGACGCTGCATGGGGTATACAGACCAGGCGATGTACAGCGCGAGTAGAGGCACTGCGATACAGGCTGAGACGCCCACGGGCAGAGGGACGGAGAAGAATAGGATGATCATGGCCTGGGCGACCAGAAGTATCAATGACCAAATGAACGCCGCGCGCGGCAAGCTGAAGATCATCGCGAGAGGCATCATGTTGCCATTTTGTTCCGTGAGGAAGGCGCACTACATGTTCGAGAGCGCGTGAGTGCGGGGCATACAAGAATGCAGGATACCGCGTACCGCATCATCGACGTCCTTCGCAAGACTTTGGAAGCGTTGTGAAAGGAAGGTAGACAGGAGTAGGCCAGTGCTGGTCAGTACGAGGGCTATGTATGCGATCATGGGCACGGGGAACACGGCTGCAATGAGCGTGTTTGCTCTGCATGGGGTCGTGTCAGCAGATGCACGGGAACCATAGAGTAAGCGGGAGAACATACATGGCAAGCGCGAGCGTCCACTGCATCACTTTGGTCCATTCCGCAGTCTGGTCGGAGATGAATGCTGACCATACTCTTTCCACGACAAGTCCGTCGACCATCTGCTCGTGTAGTTGCCGGCGGATAGACTCTGGTAGGCCAAATAGTAGACCAGCGGATATGAAATGGAGGCAAAAGGACTGCCTCTCTTCATCACACCGTAGAACGCTTGTAGTTCTGTCCAGGCGGCAATGTTCTTCGCCATGAAAATTCTGGAACCTGTGATTACAGACGAAGCCCCACAGCCTGCCTACAAACGCGTAGATGATCGGATCATCCTGAATAGCTGTCAAGGCGGTGGGCATTAGCTGATTTCATATCCCTCACATATAGACTAGTCCCGCACCTTGGCAGCGCTCGAGGATTCCGAGATGAGCGTCCGTGACACCAGGCGCAAAGTAAAACGTAGATGTATCGGAAGTGGCGAGGTCCGCACGACCGTGGAGATAGATACCGACAAGCTGCTTGACGGGGTCTTTGATGAACGATTGCGCGGAGAGATGCATTCCAAACATCTCGACATGCTTCCAGTAGTTCTCTTCCAGTGCGAACCCTGTGCGTCGGAACATGAGCGTTCGGTAGTGTATACAAGTTGAGTCAGACTTACTCAAATGGTTGTCTGAACAAGCCGAAGGGAGTCCTAGTTCGCTGGTGTTACTGTCCTCCAACCAAAATGTCACCCTGCTCCCGTGATCGACGAAGTAGTAGTCACAAATCCCAGTGTCCAGCTCCACGTCGACGAAGAGCTCATGGAATGCCGTGAGATGGAAGTCGCTTTCTTCGGCCCAGGCGAGAATGAAAGCCGCCCATGCGCTGGCTACCTTGCTAACATTGCCCGTCGAGACGTCGCCTTCCGTGATGATCCGGGGACAAGAGCCGATGGCGTGATAAACCTTGCCCTCGGGATGCGTAAACTTCTGCCATACGTTTCCGCCGTTGTAAGGTGGTCTAGGAGGACATCGTGTCAGTACAGCAGCTCACATTGGAGGATACAGAAGTGGACTGACGCTGGTTCACCGTGATGCTCTCCCAGATACTTTCCGGCGGAGAGGGGGAAGTCGTGTGGAGGCGCGGGACTATCAAGTAATGCGATGAGCAAGACGCTACAAAGCGGAGAACGGGCACCATACTAGGAGGTCCTGGGTTCATACCGCTTTGTGCGGCATGGCGTTGTGGGGTAGAGCCACTCTCTACGTGGACCATTGTTTTTGTCGTGGGCAGTGTCGCTTGCAAGGGCGATCTTGGAAGATGACATGGAGGATGGGTAGATGGGTAGTGAGAAAAGAGCGAGTCCAGGTTATATATGTAGGAAGAGGCGCAGCCTGGGCGGTGTTGGTGGTGTTACCATCGGGCTTGAGCGTTTGAGGTGAGTTTCTGTGGTTCAATCTAGCAAAACACGAACAATCTCCTCGTACGAAGATGGGAAGCCCTCGCCAACGGGCCCCAAACAGGAAAGAGCGGTCGCTTCATCCAAGAAGACAAAGCATCCAGTTACTACTCATGATGACTCTTTCTCGTTCAGCGTCTCTCCAGATCTTTCCCTCGCGGTGACCATCGCGATACCCCGCACGTTCCCATTGTTGTTCGCAGCAAACGCATCTCGCAAGATGGGTACCCGCAGTCGGCAGCGCCTTCGAAGGGGCTCGCAAAGTTCTGATGTCCAGTGCAACGAAACCTCCTATTGAGAGATGCGGGAGGCCTCGTGAATCTGGGGAGGGCGAGGAAAGGGATGGTATGCCGAAGTGGGCAGAAGGTTCGAGTCGTAGGCAGTGAACTGTCCCTCCAGACACATTGCTTCGCTGTACAGGTAGTTTCATACCTATCCGCTCCCGCTGTCTCCTTGACTCTGAGTGATTCCTTGCATATATCGAGTCAGGTGACTCAAGTGTAGTGAAGTTGACCCGTCAGCGGCGGCGGCGGCGGCGGCGGAGAAGGTGGAAGGAATGCCTTCCACACTGCAAGGACGCATCCGTTCCGAGCATCATTTGAGATTCGGATAAGTATAGCTTGAACGCCAATGCCCCAAGGATGCTGCTATTCTGAGGAAGATGGTAGTTGCGAAGCAAGCATTGCTCACGGGCACGCGAGCCATCGGCGTGATCGGTCCGAGAACCGGGCCCGCGCGCTGATTGACGCAACGTCGCTCGTCGACGCAGCAAGCGCGAACAGGCCACAGACCTACGCATCTATCGGATGAGTACCGTAAAAACTCTACGGGTACATCAGAGTCGAATCGGGCTTCCAGGCATCCTCTGCGGCTCGCGAAGTTTGCGGAGCTCTTTCAGGGGCTGCTTCAACTCAGCGCATGCTCATGCCCACCGCTACTGATACCCTCTTCCCCTTCCAATCCATTCCTGTCTTGCGCAAATATGAATACTCACTCTCCCTGGCTTAATCTCAATCTAGAACCTGAGGTGGTGAATGATGTGACGTTGGCCGAAGCAGGCCCCGGGCAGTCGCCGGCGCTGCCCGTCAGATTCGACGCCGACGACGAACTGAGAGCTTGGAGTCTGGGGACTCTAGACTTCAGAGCAAAACCTACGTTAGAGGGGCGAGAGGCAGCTTCTGAGATCTAGTCCTCCGACGTAGGCCGTGTACGTACGCGCCTTATCGTCGTCTCAAGCTGTACTACTTTCGACACACTCGGGACAATCGAGGTAGACTTCTAGCTCGTTCCTCGCGACAATGATGGGAGAGAGATTGCAAGGACGCCTAGTGCATCCATTGGCGCAGATGTCCTTCGGAGGCCAAGAGCGTACGGCCTGTAGTTCTTCGTCTGCAGCCATCATGATGTCGGGAAAAGGATCATTTCATTATAGGTTGACAAGCCTGTGGAGAGCACCGGCGTAGCTGCTTGGATTTCGGTATAGACATAAACAGGTATGGGAGATGTTCGATCGCGCACAGGCTACCACAGCCATCCGCGTCGTACCCGGGCAGAGTGGATCTTCGTCGTAAACCATCCTGACTATGAACGGCGCAGAGTTGAGCTCGCCGTGTCCCGCATGAGCCGGCGAAATCAGCATGGAGGTGATGATTGGGTGGTCGCAATGATGTGTGAATACCGGATACGTTCTCGAAACGCGGGTATTGTTGAAATAGGTTGAGACGAGGCTCATTCCTGAATCCTACATTCCTCCTTCCTCGGCACCCGACATTCACACTACCGCCCGACACCGCCCGGGGTCTTCTAGCGGTCCGAGCAGCAGCTCCGGAGAATATGCTCTCGAACGGAGACGGAGATTAAGAGAGATAGCGTACGTTCATTCACAGGCAGAGAGTGGCGTCTGTGGTCATAACTGATGGCAAGCGGGTGATCGTCAGCCCTGACTCTGTGAAGATATTACTTTGCCGCATACCTTGTCCGAAGTATACGTCGTGTGCGAGATTGATGCCTGTAGAAGCTGTAGAAGGGGCCGATTAGCAGGGTAACGGGGCCACATCGATAGGCACAACGTACGGACGGCCGCGCTACATTTTGGATCCTCCTGACCGGTGCATTGACGCACGTTCTTACGGCTAGCTTGAGAGGAAGTCAGCATGCAAACCAGGACGAAGTAGCTGCTTGAACTTACGAGGTTCTTGGAAGTGCCAGTACTCAGTAGAACTTCGGATCTTGTCAATACTTGTGTCATACAGACAGCTGGGAGCGCTCACTGGTGGTGATAACCTAAGGACCGCGGGATGATGGTAGGGACGCCATCTACGTGAATGGCGCATGAGTTCTTTGACGAATTGCGCGCAAAAGCGGTATGCTAAAGCTTACCCCATGTATGCACAGCTGTTGTACAAAATGATCATCAGCAATCCGCTCTCTCGGCGCAACAGGATGACGTATTTGCCCACCTCGAAAGACATTATCACTCCCAATGAGTTTGTCAAGTAGATCGGCGAAGTTAGCATCACCCGTACGTGGTTGGCCTGTGTGAATGTGTGTCAGATGAGTGCTGGCTGTTCCGCGCTGCATCACGGCGTACCAAATGTGAACACGCGTACGGCCGCTCCCGTGGCATTGGCCTTCAACAAAGTTCCGCCGATGGCGGCCAGGGCGCCACCCATCGAATGACCTGATGAACAGAGTTCTATTAAAACAAGCAGTCCACCAGCTGGCAGAACGGCGGAATTACCGGTTAGGACCACCGAATAGGATGGGTACTGTCGTAACTGCTCGACCACGATATCGAGCACGAGGTCGCTCACAGAACCGAACGCAACGCCGAAACCTGCGTGCACTCGCGCATCGCCACTACCGTTCAAGGGTGGGCCGACCGAGTCGAGCGGTATGAGCAACATGTTCGAATCTACGGGTTCAGCCGTCAGAATCGACTAACCACGGATAGTCAAGCGCACAGGAAGGCGTATCACGCACCGGTCAACATGTCTGGGAGTTGCTGGCTCCCGCGGAAGGCCACGATAACCTCTTGCCGTCCATCATCACGCGCCACAAAGCCGTGTACGCCCGTCAGAAGATTCGTGAACTAAGATACAAACGCGTCAGCATAAGAGCTCAGCACCACACGTTCGGCTTTGTCTCAAGTACCTCCGTTACAAGCTCGTTCCCGAGCGGATTCGGACATAGGGGCTGGTAGACCGCAGACGAATACTGGGTATAGCGTACGAGCTCATCGTAGACCTGTTGAGGTATCCCGCCGGTGCTCTTCCATGGGAGATGCCAGTGTGGTAGACGAGAACGAGGGAAAGGTAAAGGAGGAAAGCCAGGCCAGAGTGCCGTACTGAAGGAGACGGCGCAGACGAATTTGTTGAGAAGACTCGCTAGCATGCGTCCCTGGCCAAGGTATACGCTAGAAGCTAGGCGCAGTACATGGAGGTTGGAAGAGAGTTGCGTATGCAGCGTGTTGACGTCGCGCGTACCAGCAACACGTCAACAGGTCGTGTGATCGTTCACCTTCGCGGAATAGGGGCACCTGGAGCTCGTCCCGGCGGCAAGACGTCTGCAGTTTGGAAGCTCGAATACAAGGCGAAGGTCCAAAACGACGTTTTGATTTAGCAAAGAGCAGTATGGAAGCGGTATAGAAGCAGGTAGTACGTAGACAGTGAGACTATTCTGGGGAAGTCGAAGCAAGAGAAGTGGTATGTGTAAGTAGCAGACGGATGGTTCGGAGAGTTGAAACTGAAACTGTACACGGTGGATGTAGCTGGGAAGCTGCACGGGGATATCACATTCAAAGGGTATACGTATCGTATCACAAAGAACGCATCATAATCTACGGGTGAACTGAGAACGCGAAAGCTAATTCGGTAGTGCCGTTTAATCCGAGTCGGGCTCAGGCTTAGCCACAAGCTGCGCGCCG